CCAGCTTTCCTGGACTCAAGGTGCCGCCACTGCATATTCCCCACAAGTAGCACCTTTTTTTTGTAAGGCCGCCACACAAGGAATCCCTTTGTACAGGCTGCTACAAAAAAAGACTCGATCTGTGGAGGCCACTGCAGATCCCCCCCACTGAATATCTTATTTGTGAGGTTGCCACCAAAGGAACCCTTTTTGCAAAAACAGTTATCAAATTAATGTAAGTGTAGATCATTTGTACGATAAAAACAACGATTGTCACCGGTTGCCCCGACTGTGTCTTGTTTTGCATTGTGAACACAATGTGTTTTTAGTTTTTCCCCACATCTTTCGTTGGGCTCTGATTTTCTTCCCTGCCGCGGCGCACCCGCGTCTCCTCACCTCCCCTCCTCCCTCTTCTTCGTCTCCTCACCCGCGCTCAACGCATGCTCTCCTCACCCGTGCTCAACACATGCACGGCAAGTACATGACACACGCGTCTACATACAGCCGCACGCATGCACGCCTGGCGTGTTCACTGCATCACACATCCACGACGTGTGCGCCACATAATGGGCACCCACATGAGACACGTCCCGATATGGCCGCTACGCAAGGTCGTCCAGGCAAAGCAGGCGTGGCACTTCCTCGACACCGGAAGGGGGTGCGCTGGGGGTGGGGGCCCTATGCGTTTCGGGCTCGCAAAGCGTGGCAGGCGTGGCAGTTCCTCGACGCCAGAGGGGGTGCGCTGGGGGTGGGGGCCCTATGCGTTTCGGGCTCGCAAAGCGTGGCAGGCGTGGCATTTCCTCGACGCCAGAAGGGGTGCGCTGGGGGTGGGGGCCCTGTGCGCTTCGGGCTCGAAAAGCGTGGCAGGCGTGGCATTTCCTCGACACCAGAGGGGGTGCGCCGGGGGTGGGGGCCCTATGCGCTTCGGGCTCGCAAAGCGTGGCAGGCGTGGCATTTCCTCGACACCAGAGGGGGTGCACTGGGGGTGGGGGCCCTATGCGTTTCGGGCTCGCAAAGCGTGGCAGGCGTGGCACTTCCTCGACACCAAAAGGGGGTGCGCTGGGGGTGGGGGCCCTATGCGCTTCGTCGCAAAGCGTGGCAGGCGTGGCACTTCCTCGACACCAGAAGGGGTGCGCTGGTTTCGGGCTCGCAAAGCGTGGCAGGCGTGGCATTTCCTCGACGCCAGAGGGGGTGCGCTGGGGGTGGGGGCCCTATGCGTTCCGGGCTCGCAAAGCGTGGCACGCGTGGCATTTCCTCGACACCAGAGGGGGTGCGCCAGGGGTGGGAGCTCGTATCTTGTCTAGAACTGTAAACACCTTGGCTCCAGCCGGCTCGGCGCGCCTGCGCTCTCACGCAGTCGCGCTCATGTAGTCCTATTTCAGAGCACCGCCCTTCCTGCGCGCGGCAGTCATGCCGCCTAAACTTACCATGGGCGCTCTGCCGCCTCCGTGTCTGGCGATGAAAAACGCCATGGTTCTGACGGGCGGCGAGGCCAGTGTGGACAGCTCGCGCCGATGCGCAAGCGGAGTGGTGCTCTCCGCATTCAGTGCGTACCGCCGCCAGCTTCAGAACTGGTGGCCCGATACGCTCTACGCGAGGTACTCCGAGATGAGCGACGACGGCAAAAGGCAGTGCTTGGTGGCGTACCTGCAGAACCCTGCGTCGGGCGGATTCCCCCAGGAGGCTCTTTTAAACGACGGCGGCGGCCCGCCGGCGAAAGCTCGGCGAGTGCGCGAGGCTGGCAGCGCGGCGGCTGACACAGAGGCCCCCGCCGCAGCGCTTGCCACGCCTAGGAAGGCTACACCGACGAAGGACACGCCAACGAAGGCTCCGCCCATGCAGACGTGCACTCCGCAGCGGTCCCCAGCCTTGCTGCTGGCTACCTCTGTTCGATCCACTGGCGCCCCTCGCACTCAGCTTTCTCCCGGGCCCGCGGAGGCGGACGAGCGTTGGTGGCAAGGACCATTGCATGGTCACGGAGCCTGCGACAGTCGGTCGCGGTGACCTGTTTGTGCGCCCTGGCGGATAAGAAAGCTGTCGGATGGTACAATTCGTTTGCAGAGAAACGGGCGGTGGATCCACAGTACCAACCGTCCAAAAGGGGTACCGATGCAAACTTGTGGCAGGCTCTCAACAGGTACTCCAACGGCCACCACCCGAGCTACGAGATGGATGTTCCCAACCAACGAACCTCCGAGGAGGAGGAGGAGGAGGACGACGACGACGACGATGACCACGAGTGCGGCGACGAGTACGACGAGCACTACGAGTGCAACGAGTACGACGACGACGAGTGCGACGAGTGCGACGAACACGACGACGAATGCGAAGACGAGTACGGTGGCGAGGTACGACGACGAGTACGATGACGAGTAAGACGATAGAACGGCAACAAGTACGACGACGAGTACCACGAGTACGACGACGAGTACGACAAGTAGGACGACGATTCGCGACGACTGTTTAGAACGCAGGATGGCGCATAGATGATAGTGACAAGCAAACACATAAGATTACACATCAATATGTGAGGTTCCTCGGTAGCGTAATTCCTGTTTTCCGGTTTTCCTATCTAGCTTTCCTGGGCTCAAGGTGCGGCAACTGCTGATTCCCCACAAGTAATTCCTTCTTGTGTAAGGCCGCCACGAAAGGAATCCCTTTGTACAGGCTTCTACAAAGAGCATCTACTTGTGGAGGCCACTGCAGATCCCCAAACACTGAAAATCCTTTTTGTAAGGTCGCCGCCACAAAAGGAATCCTTTCGCCAGGGCGTTACAGAATGACCTCGGGAGAAAGAGCAAGAAAAGGGGAGATGAAGAAGAACGAAGACGACGAACATGCGTGATGAGTACTCCAGATTTTGTAATAAAAGGGAGGGGGTCTGGACCCTCCAAGACAAGCCATTTCAGAACTCCCCCGTGGGAGCACCCTCCAAAACATCGTCCCCAGACCCCCCAGTCCCTCCAAGATAGCCTGGAAGAGACCCCCCCCCCGAAATGAGACCCCCTCCCTTTATTACGAAATCTGGAGTACAGTGCCGGCGCGGCTGCAAGAAACCGTCGCAAGCAACCCCAACCCTGCGAACCCGCGCGCGAGGTGCACCGGAGGGGAAACCCGGAGCACCCTGGACGCAGCAGCTCCTTCCACGGCCACGGGAAGTAGCCGCGCAGCGCGAGGAGCAAGGAAACCCAGGATATCCTGACAAAAAATATATGGTTTTGGGCGTGGTTCAATGGGGGGGTCATAAATGAGGGGGTCAGAAACAGTCCCCTTTCGTGCCCCTTTCGGGCCCCTCTGGAGCCTCAGGGGGCTCGTTTAAGAACCGTTAGGGTACCTTTTCGGGCCACCCTCGCCACACCCCCACTTATAACCCCCCCCATTACGAAACGCCCAATGGTTTCTTGATGCGCGCCCCCCGGGTAATCTGATGATCCGTAGAGTTCCTATCGCTAGAAAGTCGAATAGGAATGCCCTCTTGTGAACATACAGACGGCGGGTCGGACGGTGCGGGCCCAGCCGAAGACGAGGGATCCCCAAACTGCGGTGCATCCAGTCTGTCTTCCACGCAACATGCGGATCCAACATCAGGAATTGCCGCGAGCACGTGGTGTCTGTCGCTTGCCTCGGGCCGGGCGCAAAGGGGGGATAGCAAAGGGGGGGTTTGAGAATCAGCTCTAGCTGATTTTCATGGCGCCTCCCGGCGCCGGAGGCGGCTATGTATCGAGGAATGGACCCCTCGGTGGGGCCGAAACTAGCTGCATGCAGCAGATTTCGTAACCCCCCCTTTCCCAATCCCCCCCTTTCGTCCGGCCCGATTTCCTCGCTCGTTCACTCCCTCTTCCCTCCTGCTTCCTCCTCCTCCCCCCGTCGGTCAGCATTGTGGAGGTCCCGGGCAACTGGTGCACAACCCAGAGCAACTTCGCACGCCGACGCGCCATCTGGGTGTACAGTCATCGGCCTGACCTAAGGAACGATACATAAGGAACGAAGCCCCTTGTTTTTATCTAAAGGATTTTATCCCAAGGAATAACGCATAAGGAGCGATAAATAACAAATGACGCATAAGGGACTGTAAATAACGCATGCAAACCTAAGGAACCACCGAGCCCCTTTTGAAAAGTAAGTGTTCCTCATTCAAGCCGCTCACTGTATGGTTTCTCTCCTGTCGGCGATGCAATTGTCATTCGGCCGTTGCTGCCGTCAGAAGCAGGGCTTTGCGCGGCAACCAATCACTCCAAGTGCAGGCACACAAACAGTGGATGCCCCTCTTACTCCAGATTTCGTACTAAAGGGAGGGGGGTCTCATTCCGGGGGGGGTCTCTTCCAGGCTATCTTGGAGGGCCTGGGGGGGTCTGGGGGACGATGTTTTGGAGGGTTCTCCCAGGGGGGGGGGTCTAAAACTTCTCGTCTTGGAGGGTCCAGACCCCTCCCTTTTGTTACGAAATCTGGAGTACCTTCTCTCCATCCCCTCCCCCCATCTCCAGCGATCGCCCCCTCACCTGCGGGGCAAAACATCCCCGATAGATCGGCGATAGACCCCCAGGCCTTTTCGGAAGGCCGCCTCCCTCACCCCCTGGTGGAAGCGGGAGGAGGAGGAGGAGGAGGAGGAGGAGGAGGAGGAGGAGGAGGAGGAGGAGGGGGAGGAGGAGGAGGAGGAGGAGGAGGAGGAGAGGAGGGGAGATCGTCGAGCTGCAATCGACGATCCATCCCCGATCGATCGGCGACAGACCCCTGACAGCGACGCCGGCCCTTCCTGGGTGGGGCGGGCTAGCAAGCCCCCCGTCGGGTATGAACGTGCGATTGGGGGTCGATGCATCCTGGAGGAGGAGGAGGAGGAGGAGGAGGAGGAGGAGGAGGAGGAGGAGGAGGAGGAGGAGGAGGAGGAGGAGGAGGAGGAGGAGGAGGAGGAGGAGGACCCCCCCCCGAAACTGCCCCTGTCCCCCCCCCCCGCCCTCACCCCTCCCCCGCCACCCTCCATTGCTTTCCTCCTTCCCTCGCGCCTCCGCCCGCACTGGACGCACTGCTTTTTCGACGCTGCTGAAAGAGATGACCCCGTGCTAAATCAGATGCTCGAGGCTGTGGAACGGCATTGGGCGCTCGAAAAGGGTACGGAAAAAATGAGTACAATGCCCAACAACACATGTTGTCCCACACCAACAGCGGCCGCTGTTGGGCAGGCGGCCTTCTGTCTCGAATGGACACAGGCCGCGGCGGCACGGACAGCGAGCCCTCTTCAGAGTGGACAGGAACTGCTGTTGGGCATTGTGCCCCTTCTTTCCGTGCCCATCTCGTTCGTGCAGAGCGGCAAGCGCTGGGACGACACTTCGGTCGTCGCATGCGGCCCGGGTCGCGGCAGATCGCGGCGCTGCGACAGGGGTCCGCAGAGAGTCCGGAGACAGCGCTTCCCCTCCTCGCCCCCGCACGTGGAGAAATGTCAACTTCCAGTTGGGTTCTGCACACCTGTCTCCCTCCCCATGTGTTATGTCGGGCCTGTCCCCCTACAGGGGTATTTTCGACGAAAAAAACACTACCCCAACAATACCCCCAAAAAGGTCAAACATATTTTAACAACAATCCCCAAACTATTTTTTGACTATTTTTGGGGTATCTTATCTTTTTCATCGAAAATCCCCCTGTAGGGGGACAGGCCCGACTTAACCCATGTGCTCTGGACCCCCTTCCCTGGGGCTCTTTTTGAGCGCACCTTCCATTCGCGTCCACAACGAGGGCCGTGGGATGGGGGGGAGGGGGGGTGGCAGGGGACACAGTGTGGCGCTCCCCCCCCAGAATGTGGTGCTGGACGCACTGCGGCAGTGCGGGGGGCGCAGTGAAGGGGGGGCGAGCGTTGCGTTATGGAGTGGGGGGAGGGGGGGGAGGGCAGGGGGCATGACGCGCGCCATGGCCTAGAGGGTAGACAAAAAACACTCGATCTCGGGGATGGACAAAACCCCCTTTAGTAAAACGTGGTTTAGTGGAAACGACCTCGGGCCCAAACTTGGCGGGCGCAAGCCTGGTGAACGACGGCCGCGGCGCCCTCTCGAGAACCGAAACCGGACAATTCGCTGATCGACGTGTCAGGGTGGGGGGCCCTGTCTACCTCAAGACTATCGCCCTCCCCTGTGATGTGGGCCCCCTTTCTTGTGCCTCTTCTTCTCGTCCAGGGCCATTCTTAATGGACGGTTCTGGGACCTGGAGTTTGAGCAGGGACCGACCGTCCTGGCATTCCTATAATCACACCACGAAATGTTCTTAGAACCAAAACATGTTCGAATAACAAAAACAATGTTCTTAGAACATCAACCCGTGCGCTAAAACAAGACAGTCCCCGCCATAATTGTTCTAAGAACATACCGTGCAATCCACACTAGGTTATTATAACATTGTTTGGTAGGGCGATTGGCGAGCCAGGACGTTTCGCCACTGCTTGATGGAAACGCCCCCCCCCCGCGCCCCGGATGCCGACCGAGGTGGTTCCCGCCCGCCTCGATTTTTGTTTGTGAGCGCCTGGCTTCTCCGCGGGGAAGTGGTGGTGACGAGGAGAGGGAGGAGGATATATGAGGAAGACGACGAGGAGGAGGAGGAGGAATAATAGGAGGAGGTGGAAGAGGAGGAGGAAAGAGGAGGAGGAGGAGGAGGAGGAGGAGGAGGAGGAGGAGGAGGGAGGAGAGAGATGAGGAAATCACGAAGGGGATGAGGAGAAGGAGGAGGGAATAGGGACAACGGAGGACAATGGATGGGGGGGGAGGGCGAGAAGGAGGAGGAGGAGGAGGAGGAGGAGGAGGAAAGTGACGAGGAATAGCAGGAGAGGAGGAGGAGGGAGGAGGAGGAGGAGGGCAGAGGTAACATGGAGGCGAACGGAGGAGGAGGAGGACGAGGAGGACGAGGAGGATGAGGAGGATGAGGGGAACGAGGAGGAGGAGGAGGAGGAGGAGGAGGAGGAGGAGGAGGGGAGGAGGAGGAGGAGGAGGAGGAGGAGGAGGAGGAGGAGGAGGAGGAGGAGTACGCAGCTGATGAGCAATGTTACCTGAGTGCACACACGCCTGCCGCACGCGCCGCGCCGCACACGCATGCACACGACAGAACTGATCGAGGCTGCCCGCTGTCCACGGCCTCAGGCCGTTACCATCATTTTCCTGGTGCCACGGCAGCACTGCCGCGCTCTCAGGCGCGACGCTGTGCGCGGCCACACGTCAGAGCAGTCGTCCACCACGAGGCAGACGGGGTAGTTCGGTTTCCTGGAGCCCTTCCCACCGTAGATCCCCCCATCACGATTTGAGCACGTCGATCCAGGCCGGGGGCTCGTCCTTCGTGAATCCAGCGGGCGCAGTGGCCGACGTGGCCACGCCTTCGAGCTGCTTGGGCGAGTCCCTGAGGGTGTTCTCCTTGGTCTTGTCGTTGAACGCGGACACGATCATGACCATGTCCTTCTGGTAGCAGTTCACGAGCCTGCGCGATGCAACGAAGTCGGGCGAGTCGCCCACCATGTCCATGGTCGCCGTCTCGAGCGTCTGTCTGCGGAGGAGGAGGAGGAAGAGGAGGAGGAGGAGGCGGAGCCGCGAGCCTGTAAGACGACGCGCCGAGTTCGCTTCGGGACGGGCTGGGGGCAGTTGGAAAAAAAGGACAGCGAGCGCAACCGAGCACAAAACGAATGTGGGCCCCAGGACAATATTAGTCCAGCCGAAGCATCGCGGCAATGGCAAGAGGTCACACGAGGAAAACCAGAATCGGCAGCGCCGCAATCCCAGGACACGAAAGCGAGTTGCAAGGAAACTCTACGAATATGGACTGGATGGACAGCAGGCCTAGCCACTGAACGGCGTCGTCAGTGACCGGGAGCCTGCGAAGAAGGGGTGGGTGGAGGGGCTCTGCCTCCGTTGGGGTGGACGCCTTTCATAAAATTACCCCGCCTCCATTTACAGTGTGGATTCCCTTCCAGGGCAGCCTCTGGGCCGGAAGTCCACAAGAGCTGAATGCGCGCCGCTCTGGCCGAGAACGCCCAGCACAGCCCACGATATCCCTAGAGATGCGCAGGACATGCCCTCGCGCCGCGCTGGGGACCTCCCCCGACCTCGGCAGAAGCTCCAGGGGCAGGTCCGCGTCCGCCAGCGACGGCGGGGCGCCCCTAGCAGCTCGCTTCAAGCCCCTCGAGGCCGCGTCGACGACGGCGCCAAGCACGACCTCCTGGGGGCCAGCGGGGCTACTCGAGGCCTCCGACAAACAAAAAAAACACGCACCCTCTTGCGAGGCACGGGGCGCGGTTGACCCCTCGCATCCCTCGCAGGAGGAGGAAATGGGAGGGGGTCAGCGCAATTGGAAACGACGGGGCAAGGTGGGGGGTCGGCCAGACGACTCGGCACCACAGCCCCAGGACGACAGATCCAGAAGGAGGAGGTCGCTCGATGGGCTCGAGACCGAGGGAGGGGGGTGACCCGAGGCTAGACCCTGTGAGACCGATCCTCCTGCTCGTGCTCCTCCTGCACATCGTCGTCCTCCAGACGGTGACTCGACGACCTCCCCGCTCCGTGCATTTCATCGCCGTCAGATCTGGGGGCCGCCAGCGGCTCGGGCCTGGGCGGCACGCTAGGCCCCATCGGGGGCAGTCCTCTCCAGACCACGGGACCAGGTGGCCCGATGGGCCCCCGGGTCCTCATCCCTCGGGCGCTTCCTCCACCCCAGGACCTCGGGCCCCCCGGGGCCGCGGGCCAGATCGGGTCGCGCCTGGCAACTGCCTCCCTCGAGGCGCTCTAGAACCGCCAGGGAACGGGCAGACCGCGGGCAGCGGGCACAGCGCCGGCCTCGCTGGCACTGAACGGGCAAGAATTGCCGCATATCCACTCGCTCGCTCTGCCTCTCCTGGCGCGGGCCGCCGCCGCCGCCGCCGCCGCTGCCGGCCCCCATGCTGGCGCCGCGCCTGCTGGCCGCTCGGCCGCGGCGCCCGCGGGTAGGCGCCCTGTCCGCTGGGCGCGCCTCCAGGTTGGCCTGGCTGGGGCCGATCTAAGCCGCCGCTTGTCGCACCTCGACCAGGAGCTCGGCGTGGCGCTCGCGTTCGGCGTCGGGTGCCCCGTGGATCGCCGCCAAGCCTTTCTTGGCCGCCGCGTCGGCGTAGTCGTTGCCGAGCTAATCTGGCGACTCTCCTGACTTGAGCGAGGTCTGGTGGCCCTTGACCCAGCTGACTGCGAGGTCTGTGCCGAGTCCGCCCTGGTCCTCCGAGGCGTGACACAGCTGGCGCCACGTGTCCGCGTTGTCCCTCCGCGGGTGCGCGGCGCGGCGCTTCCCTTGCTCCAGGCCCTCTACGATCCCCGAGCAATCCGTCTTGATATGTATGGGAAACTGGCCGTGCTTCATCGCCTGGATCATCGCATAGAGCGCCTCCCCGTGCGCTGTCTGCTGAGGGCCTGGTAAATGCCCGCGCGCCATGCCCTGCAGTCTCTTGCCATTCACCCCCGCGATGCCCCAGCCAGCGCGGTTCGCCTCAGGCCAGTGCGACGGGCACTTGGTCGAGCCATCGGTGAAGATCTCCCCCGTGATCGTCGCGTCCCTGCCGCCCGCGCAGTAGTATCCAGACTGCGCGTCCACCAGTGGCGGCAGCGCAGGGGGCGCCGAGCGCGGCAGGAGACCTCGCGTAGAAGAGGTCGTTGGGAGGCGCCTGCAATGCCCGTCTCCTGCTGTCCGCATCCACGGCCTCCGCGATCATGCCGACCAGGTTCGGGCATGACCGTTGCCTATGGTGAAGGTGTCCGCAACAGTCCGGGCAAAATATGCAGTTGCGGTCATCTGCGTGGCCGATCGAGTAGAGCCTCTGCTGCGTCCACTGGGCCCCAATGACCGTCGCTCGTAGGCCCCCCCCCCCCCGAGCTCGCATGCTCAAGCTCCACTTGGATGCCTCTGGGTTGGCGTGGGGCATGGCCGCGATCGGCTCGAACCAGTAGCCTCGAGGGTCACGACGGGCAGGGGGGAGTGCAGGTGCATGCTGTTGGACAAATCCTCCCGTCTCATGTTGCGATAGCTGCGTCTGCCGCGACGCGTTTCCAACTCGGCAACGCGTCGAGCAAATCGATCATCATGCCATTTCCCGTGGTCCAGCGCGTCGCCGAAATGGCTCTCCATCCAAGTCGTCGCAGGAGCAGCTGCGCCGCGCCAGCGGGGCCTGCGACTTGCCCCCACGTGATGGCACTGGTCAATGTCCTGGCCAGCATGCCCCAAGTCTTCTGAATGTTGTGGAGCGGCACCTGGCGAGCGCGCGCCATGGTGGCGCGCGGTCGCCAGGTGCCGCTCCACATCCTTGAGAAGACTTGGGGCATGATGGCGCGCGGGCGCAGATTATCTGCGCCCGCGCGTAGAGCGGCCCCGTCATGGCCATGCTCTCAGGCATCTGTCCTCGAGCAGCGACGCCAGCCGCGGCGACGACGGCGTTGAGGTCTTGGCCCAAGCTGCACGGGCCACGTTCGACATCGTGGTCAGCCTTGACGGCGGGGCTCCGACCACGTGGGTTCCGTGCGCCATGCCTGATGCCAGTGCGGGGCGCGCAACTCGTCGGGCAATCCGCGCCAGTCCTCAGAGCTTCCGATGCCTGGGGAGGAGCTCCTTGACCTTGCTCGCCCTCTTGTGGATCGCCGAGTAGGCGGGTCGAGCGCCCGCGCGGCATTCCAGTCCCAAGACAGTGAGCTGTCGCGCCACTTGCTCAGCCAGCCGCGACGGGGAGCCCGGGATGATGGCCTTACCCCTGGGAGCCGGGAGCTCCAACGCCTCGGGGACCGCGACCAGCCTCGCGGCGGCGGGGGACACAAGCTCGACCATCTCGGTCGAGTGGGGCATGATCTGCCGCGTAATGTCGCCCACGTAGATGTCCAGGGTGATCGCGCGGCCAAACAGCGCTCCCGCCATGGTGCGCAACGCGTAGAAGTAGGTCGTCCCACAACGAATCCGCCTGGGCGGCATGTACATGAATACCACCGCCTTGGGCATTTCCGTCGGGAAGCTGTAGTGATGAGCCGCGCGGGCGATCTTGATCCACGTGACCCTGCCGAAGCACTTGCTGATGTCCACCAGCGTAGTGATGTCGGAATCGCCTTTGGTGGCGTCCGTCGCCTCGGCGTATACCATGGCGCGAGCCCCCGCAACAATGGTCGACCTCCGAGCTCCTCAAGCGAAATACGGCCTCTCTCATGGGCCGCCATCCATCGTTTAATGTGGCCTATGCGCACCTTGGTATAGACCCTGTAGATGGAGGGGAGGAGGGCGATTGGGCGAAAACCGCCCTGCGCCTTCGTGAGGAGCATCACGTGCGCGGCCATGATGGGGGGTGACCAACGTCCTCAAGCCTCCGAAGCCCATAGAATTCAGAGCAGCATGGACAGCGCCTCGTCGGACAAGATGGAGTTGGCGCGAAGGGGCACGGCGTCCGCGCCCATGGCAATTTTCCAAGCAAGCGTCTAGGAGGCCGCTCGCACCTCGCTGATCGTCGGGGCGGGGGGGGCATCTCGCGAGAGGCTGCGCGGGCTGCGCATGAGATCGGGAATCTCGCCGCCCCTGTCGAAGAAGTGCTCTGCGTCGTGCTCGTTGGTGGTGGCCCTGCCGGGGTCGCCCCGCGTGTCCACGGTGGCGATGCCCTGGTCTGGCTTCTGCGAAATCACGGTGCTCTTCAGGATGTCGCTCCAGGAGCCCATCTGGCCGTCAGCCGCCGCCTGAGGCAATGCTGCGCGGATGCCGAACCTGTCCACCTCGCTGAGCGCCCATCCCTTCAGCTTCGTCGTGCCGAAGACTGGTGCCGAAGACTCGCTGAGCGCCCATCCCTTCAGCTTCGTCGTGCCGTCCTGGGCCCACTTGTGGGAGCTGGTGGCGCGGCGCTCGGCAGCCTGTCTTTTCAGGTGCTCCACGTGGTCATCGATGGTAGCCGCGTGTGCGCGGCAAAGTGTTGGCCCGTCTGCATGACCGCGCACTGGGTCAGGCGCCAGGCCGACTCGAACAGGAACGCGCCATCATGCGTGTAATTATCACGTCGGTGACCAGGTCGCAGCGCCCGCGCCACGCGCGCCCATCGGGCTCGAGAGTCATCCGCGCGCGCGACCGAGTGGACCGAGCCATGGAGTGCGAGAGCCAGGTTGCGCACGCATCGCGCTCCCGCGCCCTCTGCAGGCCTCGCTCGGAGAGGCGGGCCGCCGACTGGTCGCCAAACGCAGGTGAGGCGAGCTGCCCTGCCGCAGTAGCGATCCGCGCCCTGCAGCTGATAGATGTGGCAGAAGTCCTGGCCCACGAAGGATGGCAGCGCAGCGCGCGTCGCGCCTGGGCGCCGCGGCGCGTCGGCTCCGCCCTGGGGCCGGGCCCTCCCAGAGTCAGCCTGCGCGACCTCAGTGCATGGTCTCGGCGCCGGTGCCCCCGTCAGCGGGCCAGCGCCAGCGAGGCGCGGCGGCTGCCGCGGGAAGGCCTTGGGCGCTCGAAGATGCCTCGGCAAGATCCAGTCGCACTGGGTGGCGCGGCTCGGGCGTCCACTCGTCGAAGACGCAGGGGGGCTCGCAGGCCTTCGCGGGGCCGGGCGAGGCGAGCCAGTTGCCTATGGTACTGAAGTTGCTTGTGGTGTCTGCCCAGCAGGTGCCTGTCGGAGGGGTGACTGCAGCGGCAGGCATCACCTGCGTGAAGGCCCCTCCAGGAGGGTGGGCTCGGCGTTCCAGTCGGCCGCGAAGATGTGCGGGGCCGAGAAATAGCACATGGCCTCCGCGATTCGCATCAGCTTCCGATAGTTCGTGCTGAGGTAGTTGCGGCCACCGACAGATTCCATGTCGGCTGAGCCCACGATGCAGTCTCCACGTGCTTCCTGACGAAGACCCCCACTCCTGCACTCGGCAGCTTGGGCGCAAGGCGTCAGCATTGGCTGGTGAATGGCCGCCATCCATGTTGCAAAGCCCAGGTGCGAGCATGATCATATATTTCACTATCTAATCGGAGCTCTGGGCAAGCGACCACGAGAGCACCCCCTTCACCTTCAAGCAAAAACAGCTGGTTGTCGAACGCCGTGCTCCGCGTACTCCTCTGCGTCTAATTGTTCTCCCACGCTGCTGCCTCCGCGTTGGCGGGCGTGCGTGGGAAGCTGGCTGGTGGTGCCCCTGGTGCTCCGTCCGCGGCGGCGGCTGGCGCAAGGGCGGCATGCGCGGGCGCTGTGGCGGCCGCTGCTGCAGGGAAGTCGCTGGCGCCAACAGGCTGCTCGCCTGCGGCGCGAAAAAACCGCCACCTGCTGCAGTGCCCAGCCTGTTGATGTGACCCGCCAAGGTGTCCAGGACGGCCCCACCCACCCTGTTGCGGTCCTGGCCCGCGCTGATGGATTCCCTGGCGCCCTGGAGGATCTGCTGCAAGGAGGCGACTGCGGTGGCGGCCTCCGACAAGCATAGGGTCGGGGTGGGTCCGGGCGCAACCTGGCCTGGGCGACCTCCGCGTTGACGGCCACGAGCTGCTGGCTCGCCGCGGCCAGCTTGGTGTTCGGGTCGTCAAGCTTCGCCGTGAGGTCCCTGGCGATGGACTTCCAACGCTCGACCTCCTGCTTGCAGTTGCTCTGGCGTGCAAGCGCAGGGCGGAGGACGTCCTCGGGGGCCATCTGTGTTCGCTCTTGCTGTTCGGCCTTGGCCAGCTCATCCCGCGCCATGGCCACGATGGGGTGCTGCTTCTCATACATGCGACGTGAGCCTGCGAACGCCTCCCTGCACTTGGGGCCAGGCTACTCACCAGCAGCAGCACAAGGAGGGCGAGAGTCAGCGCGAACCCCGCTGGACCTTGGGCGGCTGCCGCGGGTTCCCTTGTCACCTGTGGGCCTGCCCTCGCGGTCGCGACCGCGCGCCCACCATGTCTGCATGCTGGGGAAGTTGGATGCGAAGCTGCAGGCGCGCGTGGCCACGCGTGGCCAGGTGCCTTCGCGCAGCGGAGCCGAGGGAGGCGGTTCGCCAGTGCCGCCTCCGCCCACTCCGATGAGCTCGCCAGCCTCGCCGCGGTGTCCTGCCAGCGTCCTCCTCGCCGCGTCCAGGCGGAGAACGCTCCTGGCCTGCGAGCGCGCCCTGCGCTCGCGCCTGTGCCAGGCGGGGGGCGGGGCGCGCGTCGCCGTGGCACTGAGACCAGCAATGCACCAGCGACCGCCGTGCGCGCGGGCCGCTAACGGCTCGAGAGAGGGGAGGAGGAGGAGGAGGAGGAGGAGGAGGAAGAGGAGGAGGAGAGGGAAAAGGAGGAGGAGAGGAGGAGGAGGAGGAGAAGAGGGTAGTGGTGGTGGTGATGGTGATGGTGGTGGTGAGGAGGAGGACAAAGAGGAGAAGGAGGACGAGGAGGAGGAGGCGGAGGAGGAGAGGGATGAGGACGACGAGGGGGAGTAAGCCGGTCGCGATTCACCCCGCCGCCAGCGCTCAAGCGTAGCGCAGGATGAGGTGCGAGCCGCTGTCGGAATCGACGATGCCGCTGAGCCCCCCGACTGAGAGGGCGTACGTGCCCTAGGGCCGGGGAGGCAAGCGCGCCCCAGGAGGCGTTGGCGAAGGACAAGGGCCAAAGCACCGTGACACTCGGGCCGCCGTCGCCGTGTCAGGTTGTTCCGCCCAGGCAGGGGTAGAAGAAGAAGAAAAACCATGTAAGCATAAACTTTGGCGCTCCGCGCGGATTTCTTGGATTCGCGCTGGACCCCCTCCCTGGCGCGCGGAGCGCGCCGGCGGCGCCGGTGGCGCCGCCTGGGGGCCCAGGCGTGGATCCAAGAAATCTGCGCGGAACGCCACGAGTTTATGTTTATGCCGTTTTTTCCTCCTCGAAGGGGGGCTGATCGGGGAGTGCCACCGCGGTGTGCTGCATCTGGCCACCAAGAAAAGGTGGAGGAAGGCAGGGGAGGGGCCTGGCGCCGACATGCAGCAACCCCGACGGCGAGGAGACGGAGCGGAGAAACGAGACCTCTGCCGCGTGTCTGAGTGAGCTGCTCTAGCAGCGTGCTTGAATCGGCCCCTGCGAACCAAGGACTCGGGACAAGCCCGTCCAAAAGACTTAGGGTATCTGTTCCCCTGTCTACTGCCTGAGACGGCCACAAAGAACTGGAACAAGGGAAGCGGTGCAGTGGTGATCCACCTGGCCGCAGCGGGGAAGCGGCCAGTCACCCCTCCACCGTCCTCGAGGGGCCACGGCCCTTGGGCCTCAAAGCCTCCTCCGCGGCCCTCCTGCTCCTCCGGGCCCAGTCAGACGCCGAAGGGGCAAACTCAAGAACGTGCAGGCGGGCACCTCGAACAGGGCCCACTATGGAGACGGAGGAGGACGAGGAGGAGGACCAAGGCCCGCCAGTGGGCCCACACCCGACCCCAGCCACACCCCCAGGAAACGGACCAGAGCGGGAGTCCACCAGCTTCCCGTGCAGCCAATCGTCACCCCCCTTCTCGAGGCCTGTAAGCCCAGAGAGCATCTCAGGGTCCAGAGCCGAGAGGAAGGGGGGGAGGAGAGAGGAAAAGCGCCAGGGCAATGCAGCAACAGAGGCCCCCTAGATGGGGTCCGAGTAGATGAAGTCGGAGGATCGCGCCGCATCGCCGTTGCATCGCCCGTGCATCGGCGATGCATCGACGATGCAACGTCGACATCGGCGATGCATCGGCGACGTCGGCGTGGAGAAAATTGGGCTGCCCATCGAGCCGCATCGATGCATCGGTGATGCGACGCGATCATCCGACCCCGTATGCCTGGACCCCATCTGGGAAGCCTAGAACCGACGTTACGTCGGGCCTGTCCCCCTACAGGGGGGCTCTCGACGAAAAATAAAAGAATACACAAAAAATAATCAAAATGATAGGAAAAATAGTCTGGGGACTATTTGTTGAATATGTCTTGACCTTTTTGGGGTATTTTTGGGGTATCTTTCATTTTTCGTCGAAAATCTCTCTGTAGAAGGGACAGGCCCGACCTAAGCCTAGAACCGAGGGGACTCAGACTTTCGGCGCCGGGGCTTTTCGACCGCCCGATCGTTCCATGTATTGGGAGCCCAAGAGGGGGGTGTCCAAGAGGGGGGGGTGCGAATCATGACCGGCGGCATGTGCGCGGCCCAGCGGGGGGGCCAGGGACGTAATGAAACAAGAAGAGGCGCCATGAAATCTGGGGAAATACCATGGCCCCCGCCATGATATCCACCACCCCCTAGTCATCACCCCCCTCTTTTCCGCCCCCGATTTTCGACCGCCCGATCGTTCCATGTAGGCCGATCCTGGGGCACTTGCGGCGTTCAACCTGGCACTTCCGCGGCGGGGTCGCCGCGGGTCGACACGGCGCGAGCCCACCGTGCACGAACTCACCTTGGCCGGGCCCGTCGTGGGACCGCGGCCAGTGAAAGCCCGTCCGCCGAACGTTGGACGCCCGAGTTATCCGGGGTAACTCGGGTCCGGGGTAACTCGGGTTTGGGTTCCCGAAAAAGGAACCCGAGTTAGCCCTGACCCGAGTTACCCCTGATGATTTTGGGGCTCTGGACGCCCGAGTTATCCGGGGTAACTCGGGTCCGGGATAACTCTGGTTCGGACTCCAGAAACACGAACCCGAGTTAACCCTGACCCGAATTACCCCTGATAATTCGGGGCTCTGAGAACGTGTCCTGAGATCCGGCGTCATGAGAAGGCAAACTGTGGCTGGAGGGCTTTCACCGGCGGTCCGAACAGATGGCGCCCCGCCGGCGTGGGTCGCCCCGGCCCGCGGAGGGGAGGCGCCCCTGGGCGGCATGCTCTCTCGCCCTGGCCCGCACCAGGGGGGAGGAGGAGGAGGAGGAGGAGGAGGAGGAGGAGGAGGAGGAGGAGGAGGAGGAGGAGGAGGAGGAGGAGGAGGAGGAGGAGGAGGAGGCCCCATTGCCCAAGCAGCCGCGATGCAGCGGCGACGCCGGCGTGGAGATCATCGAGCTCCGCGTCGAGCCGGATGGCCGACGCCTCTCGGGCCGGGCGAACGGGGGGGGATCGCAAAGGGGGGGGGGTGAGAATCAGCTCACGCAGCTGATTTTCCCGGCGCCGCCCGGCGCTGGGAGGCGGCCATGCATCGAGGCCTGGGCCCCTCGGTGGGGCCGAAACCAGCTGCATGCCGCAGATTTCGTGGCCCCCCCCTTCCCAATCCCCCCCTTCCGTTCAGCCCGAGCATCGGCGATGCGGCGTGGTCCTCCGACCCCATCTGCTTGGACCCCTCTTCGGAGGCCGGGAGGTGTGAGAAGTCACGACTGGAATCCCCGACCACATCGCACTGCGGGACCCATCGAGCCGGATCGACCCGCGGGGGGCCCCCTGATCCGAAGCGGGGCAGACATGACCGCCGCGATATTTCAGGACCCCTCGAGCCACGTCTCTGCCTTGGTGACGTGCATTCCAAATCCCTTATTAATCGTCCCCCGGGTCCGTTACATTCGGGCGGGGGGTTCGGCTTTCTCGGGCGCTTGTTTTGTAACTGGGGGGGGTCCGGTTTATTCGGGCGCTTGCTTTGGATGGCAGGTGCGCGGCCGAGGGGGGGTGGCCCGGGACGTAAACAATGGAATAAGAAGAGGCGCCCTGAAATCCCGCCAGGATATCCCCCGGAAAATAAATCATCCCCCCCCCTTTCCCCCCCCTATTTTTGCAATCCCGGTTCAATAGGATTTAACTGTGGAGAGGGGCGCGGAAGCCGAACTTGATAATCCACGGGGGAAGTTGCGAATCGAAGTTGCTATCATCTCATGTTGACTAGCAACAGCATCAAAAACGCTGAGCATGGCCATGGTGGTCTCACCATATCAGCGTCCGCAATCACGAGTGTGTGGCAGGGCTGTGGGATTCTCACCAATTCAGTTTGCCCAAGTCAAGAACGCGCGGCAGGGCCATGGGATTCTCACTTTCTCAGACGTTCCCGAGTCAGGAACGTGTGGCAGGGCCATGGGGACCGATTGGATTTTGATGTTACGTGCGTTTTTCGAGCAGGCAGGACGGCTAAGGACCTCTCTTGCGCTGGCAAGTTGTAGCCACGAGCCTCGAGATCTCTCGAATCAGTCTCTTGTGGCAAGATCTACGAGGTCAGTCTACACGAGCGCCCAGGATCACCATCATCATGATCATCGTCATCATCATCATAACTTCTAACTAACATCACCTTCCCCGGGAACATCGTTGATTATCCCCGCCAGACCACTGTACTTTATTATCTGGGGGTGATGATTCTCTGGGGTATCCACGCCCCCTTGTCACCACTCGGAAGCTGGGCGAGGACTGGCACATCCGTGGCTGCTATAACGGTCTTCCCGGAACAGAAGCACAAATTCCGGGACGCAAGCTCAACGCACTAAATGATAACTGGGCTGCTTCCCCGTAAAGACAATCAATTTCCCAGAACTCCATTCTAGCAACAACGGGTTTGCCAGCCTTCGCCTGGCTTCTGAATCACCCCGCTTTTGGCCGCCCCCGACTTTCACATGGATTGCAAACCGTTGGCTGTTTTCTGTGGGTCCAGTGGACCGACACAAGGGGCTCACCGCTCACCAAACCACCCCAACTCAACCCGAAGGCCCCGATTGCCCCGGGCGCGCAAATATGTATTACCGATCCATGGATTTGGCGCGCGGCCGCCAAATCCATGGATCCGGGTGTGCCCTCCCCAAAATGCGGCCGGTGCCGCCTCGCTCGGCGGCGAAAATCCGTGATTTCCCCTGGAAACGGGACCAGTCGCCAATGCACGCCCCCTTGCTCCATGTTTGCGATGGCCTGAGATGCGCCGTCCACATCCAGTGTGGGGGTGGGGAGATGGTCGGGAAACAACGAACAACACGTATGAAGCCCGCACCCCCCCAACCCGAAATTCGTATCTTCGGGTTGGCCTGGGGTGGTCTGGTCCATAGTCAGGGGCCCGCACGGACCGCCCGCGCAGGCGTCGCCGCCCCGTCGAGGCGGTGGGACTTCGCCCCGCTCAAGAGCTGCGGGCAGTCTTCCTCCCCCTCCTCCTCCTCCTCCTCCTCCTCCTCCTCCTCCCTCTCCTACCTCCTCCTCCTCCTCCTCCTCCTCCTCCTCCTCCTCCTCCTCCTCCTCCTCCTCCTCCCCCTCCCCATCCCCCTCCTCCTCCTCCTCCTCCTCCTCTTCCTCCTCCTCATCCTCCTTTTCTCCCCTCCCCTCCCCCTCCTCCTCCTCCTCTCCTCCTCCTCCTCCAACTCCTCTTCCTCCTCCTCCACCTCCTCCTCCTGCTCCTGCTCCGCCTCCTCCTCCTCCTCTTCCTCCTCCTCCCCCTCCCCCCTCCTCCTCCTCCTCCTCTTCCTCCTCCTCCTCCTCCTCCTCCTCCTCCAACTTCCCCGTTCTGGATATATCGCGGGCACCATCCTGGCCCTCCAAACGCCCTCCCATGGTGCAGCCTTAGAGCCTCGATCCTCGCGATCCCCGGTCCTCCTCCATCCCCCTCATCCTCGCGAAGCTAAGTTCTCGCGATGCTGCTCTAAAGAAGCCAATGGGCACTTGCCCTGATATGTTGAAACCCATGTATGATGTACGGATATGCTGTTGATATTGATCTTGAACTATCGCATGATATGATGTCGTCTGCTGGCGGTTTTGCAAGAGGGGCCGTCAATGCTGCCAATCGATCGAGATGGTTACGCAATATGGGGGACGAGGGGCTGCAGCAACAAAGACACGGACGGAGTAGGAATATTATTTACAAGCACGGCGTGCGAGGTAAAACGGGTACCGCTTCAGATGCTGAAGTGAGTTTGGCGAACACACGAGGCCAAACCCACTTGGGCCTTGCGTGGAGATCCCCATGGGGCTACACAACGTGTGAGGGTGTGCGGACATAAGTGTGGCGGACGCATATGGCCACACCCACTTGGGCCCTAGGTGGAGCTCCTGTGGGGCTACGAAACGTGTGACGTGTGTGTGTGTGTGTGTGTGTGTGTGTGCGTGCGTGCGTGCGTGCGTGTGTGTGTGTGCCGACATGGGTGTGCCGACAACGATGATGATGACGATGACGGTGGTGATGAGCGGTTATGACATGCGGAGGGCAGATGCAGGGATGAGAGAAGGAGGAGGAGGAGGAGGAGGAGGAGGAGGAGGAGGAGGAGAAGGAGTAGGAGTAGGAGTAGGAGGAGGACGAGGAGGGAGGAAAAAACGCAGGGCGCTGTCTCTTCAAAACGGGTGCCCAATACCATAGAATGGTTGGGAACATCAGCTGCCATCTTGCGATCTTTACTGGACCCTCGCGTGGCGACTCGATGCTGCGCGTGGAAGCTGAGCCGGCGCGCGTCTTCGAACTGCTTCTGCATGTCGCCCTTCCCAAACTCGCCCAGGTCGCCGCCTTGTCTGAAGGAGCCGCAATCGGAGTGCGCCTCGCGGGGGATTCCTTCCTCCAGCTGACATTCCGAAGCATTCCCTGGGAGGATTTCGCAATAATGATGAAGGGGTATCAAGCCAGATTGAAGGGCCATTCTAAACTGGATTCGCCCAAAAAGGATGGGGTAATGTTAAATTGAGCGGGGCTACGCCTGATTGAGCGGGATTTTGCCGGATTGCGACAGTTTTCGACCACGGATACACCAACGCCGATACTGAACGCAACCTCGAAAGAGATGCATCCGAAACCCAGGCCTCTGACGACTCGAATCACATCCTGTTTCTCCCCCCTGAAGGTGTGCATTTTTGTTCTCTTCGATCGGTGCGATGAACTTCCCCACAAGTGTCATTTGCTTTGAAGTCGCAAGACCCACAAAGAACACTGAAGATCGCGGTACCGAAGACAAAGCGCGCGAAAACGAGATACCTCCTCTCCTTCCCCCTCCTCCTCTTACTACTCTTTCGCCGTCTCATCATCCTGCTGCCGCTTCACCCTCCTCCCCCCCTGCTCCCACCCTTCCCCCTCCTGCTTTTTAGGCTCGTCATCCTGCCCCTCGTCCTCACCCTGAGAAAGAGCGTTCAGCGGGGAACCGGCGAAATCGAATCGACGATGCAATTCTGCGATGAAATCGAATCGACGTCGAAATCTCGTCGGAACTTCGCTGGAATGTCGTCGAAATTTCGACGTCCTCCCCCTCGGGGTGAAACGTCGACATCAAATCGGCGATGCATCGCCGACAGATCGGCGAGAAGACCTCGGTAGCAAGATCGCACGGCCCTCGGCGGGGTGGGCCCATCGGTCCCATCGGCGACGAAGGGCCGATTGGGGGTCGGCACGTCACCCCTGAACCTATCATCCCCTCTCCTCCTCCTCCTCCTCCTCCTCCTCCTCCTCCTCCTCCTCCTCCTCCTCCTCCTCCTCCTCCCCAGCGCTGCCCCAAAAAGCCTCTTCTTCCAACTTCCCCCTCCTCCACCCGCCCCAGGGGCAACGCAAGGACTGCAAAAAGCGCACGGGGTACGGAACGCCAGTGGCAACGACAATGGGTTTGGTCCAAATTGGGCGCCCGAGTTATCCGGGGTAACTCGGTGCCGGGGTAACTCGGGTTTGGATTCCCGAAAAAGGAACCCGAGTTAGCCCTGACCCGAGTTACCCCTGATGATGTGGGGTTCTGGACGCCCGAACTATCCGGGGTAACTCGGGTCCGGGTTAAGTCGGGTTCGGACTCCCGAAAAACGAACCCGAGTTAGCCCTGACCCGAGTTACCCCTGATGATTCGGGGCTCTGACCAAACCGTTCCTCCGCCCGGGAACGCGAGGCGGGATACCCATGGAGCGCCGGCACCCTTCGGGCTTGACGGCCGCGGCGTGCACCCGCCGTTCGTCGGAGGCGCGGGGCGGGATGCCTCAGGGAGCACCAGCACACTCTGGGCCCGGCGGCCGCTGTGCAGTCATCGGCCTGACCTAAGGAACGATGAATAAGGAACGAAGCCCCTTTTTTATCCCAAGGAATAACGCATAAGGAACGATGCATAACACACAACGCATAAGGAACTGTAAATAACGCATGCAAGCCTAAGGAACGACCGAGCCCCTTTTGAAAAACAAGTGTTCCTTCCTCAAGCCGCTCACTGTATGCAAGGCGTCCATGGCAGACGGGGGGTCGCTTGTTTTTGAGCCTAACAGCTCCAACCTGTGGGCTTGGGGAGAAGCGCGGACGGTTCGCCTGCCAAGGCGCGCGGATCGGCTCATGTAGACCATGTTTCATTCCTCGTATGTTCCTCCTCCGCCTCCGTTTTTCTCTCTTTTCCATGTCCCACCTCTTCTCCTGTAACTCGGCTGAGAAGGATACCATGTCCCATGCATCTTCGTCCAGTTCGCGGAAACCATATCGTCGAATATTAAACAATGTTTAACAAAAAACACCTAAGCAAAAAAACAGCAAATGGCTGGACTTCGTGGGGGCGGCTATAATTCTTGAGCCACACGCCAGCGGGTCCACAGCGACCTGGTGTCCTTCATTGGGACACGCCTCCTCGACCTGGGGGCCCAAGTCTGGTCGTATACGCGCAACCTTGTAGGATATGCAAATCACCGGTGGAAGCTAAAGATACACCAGCAACGCAAAAACGGTGATGCATATGTTGTTTTGGCGAGTGGCAGTGATGAAGTCCAAGTTCGTTCGCAAAATGCATCGTCCTTCAAACCACGACGCACAAGTGTGGGAGGCTGAAGTAGGCAATCTCCACAACTCTACTGACAGGGAAGCACACAACAAATGACTAGCAACATGGCGGGATCTCCGCACTATACCCACGTGCCACAGCCGCGCGATTGCGAGCATTTGCCCGAAACAATGTACGTCAATCGCGCGAACAATCTTGAAGGCAAGGGAGGTCGGAAAATGGTCAACGGTCGGTTGTCATTCAGAGACTCCTGGGTCACGCTGGTGTGGACGTCGGCCGCTTCCCGTTACCCTGGGCATTGCCCGCCTCGATGCGCGCGAAGCCCTCCTCGCGGTAACGTTCCCGGGTGTACGCGCGAGCCGGCGCGTCGTGCTTCGCGCAGCAGTTCTCGTTCCAGGCATGATCCTTCTCGTCGCCGTCTGGCAAACGCACGCGCATCCCATCATGTTGGCCTTGAGCTTCTTCTTGGCCGACTGGTCGTTAAAGCCGTTGAATCTGGCGACGGCCTTCCAGTGGGTGAAATGTTCTGTGTGGCCCACATCAGGCGTCGGCTCTCCCGTCTGTGGTCATAGGCTATGCCCAGGTGGGGGTTAATAGCCCATAGGTGATGGTTACCCGAAAAGATCGGGCCCTAACGCAGGATCTGGTCTCCCAGACGGCTACAGCGGCTGAGGGAGTAGCAGCGAAGCCAATAATCGCCTCTTCGGATATGCATCTGCCCGAACGCCTCGCACCTGCTCCTCGCTGCGGATAGCCGCGCGCGGCGCCCTCTCAGTGCCGCTCTTCGCCAGATCGGCTCCATGCCCGAGATGCCTCCCTGGCGGTCGCGTCGAAGTTTGTTTGGTCAAATTCCAGACCGTCGGCAATGGCCATGAACTCCGCTGCCAGTTCTCTGCTGGGAACCGCAATGCAATCGCTAATGTTTGAATCGCCCCGTGCTCGCTGCAGGTCGTTGACTCGCTGTGGGGCGCTTTGATGGCTGGCGCGGCGGCGCCCCCTGGCCACTGGACCCCAGAACACATGGCCATCGGGTCGATGCCCTCCCGCGCCTGAAGGTCGGACGCTCTGTTGATATACGCCCAGTTTCTGTCGCCGCGCTCCAGTCGCGCATCGGGCAAGGAAAATGATTCGGAACTATGGGGCCAGGGCAGGGCGACCGTCGTCGTCGGGAAAATTTGCCTGGACGGCCATGCCCAATTTTGCCCGCTCGCCGTGCCCCTCCCTGCGCTGATCCGCTGGTGCGTTACGCCAGAGCGGTGGGCCCTCGAGGTGAACTTCTGGCCGCGCGCAGAAAACGCCGCCGCGTGGCGCCACGATGAAGTTCAGGCTGCTGCCGCAAAGGCCCCTGGCGAGAACGCCCCGCGTTGTGTCTTCCCGCTCGCTTGCCGCGCGGTTCGCCCAATTCCGAATGCGTCGCCCCGCCGCGCCCTGACCGCCGCCGTTAGGTTCCAGGCCTCGGCAAGCGCGGCCCCGCGGCAGGATCATATCGACCAGCGACTCGACGAGAAACCCGCGAGGCATTTCCGAACATGGACGCGGCATGCGCGGACTCGCGTTTCCCCGCCCGCTGGCTCTGGCGACCGGCGCGGACGCGGCCGCGGTGAATGGTGCCAGGACCGACGCCGAGCTAGGCGCTGCCGGCGCTGACCCTTCACGGGCGATGCGTCGTCGGCCGTCTTCTTGCCGCCATGCCCTCGGCTTCTGCGCCCCCTGCTTCCGACGTCGGGCCTGGCCGCTCCGGGGGCGAGCTCTGGCCCTTGCCCGCCGTTTCGCTCGCTTGGCCTTGTCTCGCCGCTATTCTTGGCTCTCTACGCGAGGACTGGCGTCGGATGACGCCGCCCTCGCAGGCCTGGGCCCCTGACCTTCCGCGGCGGGCCGCCGGGCCCGCGCGCGCTCGATGAGTCCGGGCGTCGCCTTCGCCTCCGACCGCCCGACTCATCGCGCCGAGGCGCCTGGCGACGCCCCCGAGCGTCTGGGGAAGCAGCGCCTGTGATCATTGCTTCGCCATGCTCGCCTCATGAGTGTTGGAGACGCCCTGTTCGGCGCCGACGATGATCTCGCGCCTCCCCATGGGATGTCCGGCGCTCCTCGCCATTCCGCCCTTACTGAACTGATCGCTCTGCTCTGTGGTCTCCTCGTTGGCTTTCTTGGGCTCCCTGTAGCGTTCGAGAGGCTCTCGTGGGCGGTCCATCATCTGCCAGGAGACCCGCGGCGTCGAGGCGTCGAGCTCCTCGCCGTTGCCCCCGTGGCGCCCAGGGCATGCGCTGATTCGCGCGGCCTTTTACGCGCGCAGTCGTCCTATCCTCGGCCTCGTCGAAACGGTCGTTGCCGACGATGGCGCTCTGTGTCAGATCGCAAGCTGCGCCGCGTAATGCATCTTGCAACCGAGGCTGTGAGCGCGCTCCTTAGATGTGGGCCCTGAGTCGGCGAGGCCGACGATTTCCCGGCCGTGAATGGTCAGGCCCGCGATCGGGCCGATGTCGCCGTCCGTCATGCCGGCGCCGGCCATCGTGGGAGGTCTGGGCGACTGGCGAGAGGTGGGGAATGTGGAGTGAGAGTCCAGGCGAGGTCTGTCACGGTGGCTGAACTGTAGTCTGCCGCGGGCTACTTAGCGTTCAGTCGCAGGAGCTAACTCACGTCTCCCATCTTCGTGGCATCGCGCTGCAGTCCTCGCGTGCGTTCGCATTCCCTCACCGGCCCACATGCTTTGTTTATGCGTCTGCTGCGTTGTCACCAGCGCCTACTGTCGCTACATTGGCGCATCCACTACTAGCTGTATATTGCAGCCGCAGCTGACATGCCTGGGCATGCCT